AACCACTACATATGGAAAAGAAAAAGAGCATTTGCTAACAAAATCATTTTGCTAAGTATATACCGTGCCTTAACCCAGATGTTAAGCACATATATAAAAGATATCTAAGCAAATAAATAACTGGTTTTATATAAAAGCTATCTAAGTACTGTAAATGAATAACTGGTTTAGATTTTGAAGATCCACAATTTACAGCATATAAAACACCTTTATTATCTATATTAAATGAAAGTCTTCTATTGCAGAAATGGTCACCCCATATTTCTATAGCAATTACAATAGGAAATAACTCTAAAAAAAAACTATATTCTTTAACAGACCCCTAGTAGCCCATGATGTAGGCCACTGGTCAGTAGTGATGGGCCAAACACCCCCTTTGTTTTCAGTCAAACATTCGAACCTAACAATAGTTTGACCGCTAACTTCAAACCCAGGGGACAATTCACTAAACGGTATCTTACTGCATCCGAGCATGAGGTAAGATACCGCACAGCATTTTTCCCCAAAAAATTGGCATTCACTAAAAAAAGCTACTAAAATACTGCAGTAGTTATTTTATTAAGTTATGCAGTATGTTAGTAGTGAAAACATGCGTTAATGTTTCAGCTGGCAGCGGGGTTCCCCACTGACAGATGAATTTAAAAAGAATTGACAACAATTAAAATTTAGCAAAAAAATGGTATGGGGTTCCCCCCATCCGTACCAAGCCCTTTTGGGTCTGGTATGGATTTTGAGGGGAACCCTTATGCTATCATTTTAAAAAAAATGGCATGGGGTCCTCCCCAAAATCCATACCAGACCCAGCAGGTCAGGAAAGGGGAAGATGAGCTAGCGTACCCCCACTCCTGAAACATACAAAGGCCACATTCCATCAACATGGGGGGGAGCTTTGGGGCAGGAGGGCTCCCGTCCAAAGCACCGTGTCCCCATGTTGATGGGGACAAGGTCCTCTTCCCTACTGCCCTGGCCTGTGGTTGTGGCGGTCTGCGGGCGGGTGGCTTATTGGAATCTGGAAGCCCCTTTTAACAAGGGGGCCCCCAGATTCCTGCCCCCCCATGTGAATGAGTATGGGGTACACGGTATCGCTACTCATTCACAAGAAAAATAAGTGTAGTGTAAAAAATGGCAGTAGACAGTCTTTGACAAGTCCTTTATTAAAACAACAAAAATAAAAAAAATGTCCCCTGAAGTTGATCCAACGTCAATCACAATGCTTGTCGTCACTGTCGACCCAAAAAAATAAAGAAAAAGGCTCTGCTCTCAATGCTGGCTCCCGCCATCTGAAAGCTCTACCGGCCTGACAGTTCCTAAATACTTAGTTGATGACATCACAATGGGGAGGGGTCACCCAGTTGGCATTACCAGGTTGCCCCACCTCTTTGATATTTAAGAAGTGTCAGGCCTGTGGAGCAGTCAGATGACAGGAGCCAGTGTCAACAGCAGAGCCTTTTTTTGTCTTTTTTCAGGTCTGCAGTGGCGAGCATCATGATTGACGCTGGATCTACTTCAGGGGACTTTTTTATTTTTGTTGTTTTAATAGAGGACCAGTTAAAGACTGCCTACTGTAATTTTTTACGCTACACTTTTTTTTGTGAATGAGTACCATGTACTCCATACTCATTTACATGTGGGGGGCTGGGATCTGGGGGCCCCCTTGTTAAAGGGGCCCAATAAGCCCCCCTGCCCACAGACCCCCACAAACACAGGCCAGTGTTGTGGGGAAGAGACCCTTGGGACAAGGTGTTTTTGGGGGGAGCCCTCCTGCCCCAAAGCACCCCCCTGTGTCGGGTATAGTTCAGGAGGGGGGCATTCTTTCGACCCCCCTTTCCTGACCTGCCAGGCTGCATGCTCGGATAAGGGTCTGGTATGGATTTTTGGGGGACCCTATGCCATTTTTTTTAAATTTTGGCATGGGGGTTCCCCTCAAAATCTATACTAGACCTGAAGGGCTTGGTATGGGTGGGGGGGCCCCATGCTGTTTCTTCTGCTAAATTAATAATCGGCAGCAATTCTTTTTTTTTTTCAATTCAGCTGTTAGCAGGGAACCCCACTGACAGCTAATAACTCATAGGTTGTTAAGGACTCGGCGGCCACACACTTCTTAACAACCCATGATAGTTACTGATAGATACCAGTACATATCGCATGCCTCTACCACTACTTAACAGCTTCCATACCGGGCACTTTTACCCCCTTCCTGCCCAGGCCATTTTTCAGGTTTCAGCGCTCTCACACTTTGAATGACAATTGCGTGGTCATACAACATTTTACCCAAAGTAAAATTTTATCATTTTCTTCACACAACTAGAGCTTTCTTTTGGTGGTATTTAATCACCACTGGGGTTTTTATTTTTTGCTAAATTAACAAAAAAAGACCAAAAAGTTTGAAAAATAAAACCACGTTTTCCTTTGTTTCTGTTATAAAATTTTGCAAATAAATAATTGTTCTTCATAAATTTAGGCCAAGATGTATTCTACTACATGTCTTTGGTGGAAATAACCCAAATTAGGATGTATTTTTTAGTTTGTAGGAAAGTTATAGAGTTCACAAACTATGGGATATATCTGAATATTGATCAATCCTGAAGTACTGACAGCCAATCTAATTTATTGAGGTCCAAGAATGTCAGAACACTACAGATATCCCCCAAATGACCCCTTTTTGCAAAGTAGACAGTCCGATATACTTCATAAGAGGCATGGCAAGTTTTTTTAATTTGTATTTTTTTTCATTATTTTTTGGAAAATGAAAAAATGAAAAAAATTATTTTCACTATTTTTTTTTACATACTGTCACCAGTGCAGTACAGCATCATCATATAACTGGCATGGCGGTGATCAGGGACACTGACTGGTGACAGTATGAAAAAAAATATATATATATTTTTTTTTATTATTATTTTTAATTTTTTATTACATTTTTTTCTTTTTTTTAAAGATTTTTTTTTCATATTTCACTATGACCAAAGTAGTACATGTTACCATAGTAACATTGTACTACTTTGGGGAAGTGATCAGTATTTTTTTTTTTTTTATAAACAATTTGCTTATAGCAAAGAATTACTTTGCTATAAGCAAGCATTTACCTGAATGACATCGATTCATTCAGGGTTTTTTTTTTTTTTTTTTGGTGCTTAGCTGTGATTTGGCCACGGCTAATCACATGACACATAGTATACAATAGATGGCATGAATGAAGCCATCCATTGTATACAACTGTCCTGTGACCTGCTGTGATTGGCAACGTGGCCGGTGCTCAGATCTGTCATTGGCCGTGTCCGAGGTACACGGCCGGTAACAGATTGCGCCACTGCGCGGCTCTGCAGGCGCGCACCCGGAATGGTGAGGGGTTTTGACGGCCGCCATTCAGCCATAGGCTGGGCGGGAACCGGTTAATTACCACATGCATTTAATTATTTATTTCCCTTTGTGAATTGACTTTAGGGTCTTTTTATGCAATATTTTCTAAGTGTTTTTCCTATTTTTTGGTAAATACCGCACAATGCAATAGTGAATTGACATTTTCAGTATTGCATGCAATATGTGGTCACATGACCGTCATAACGCATGTGATAACCTTTAGTGAATCGTGCCCAATGCAAGTCTATGGGACTTGACCTTGTAAATTCAAAAGTGCCCATTTGGAAGGCTTATATGAAAGTTATTGGCCATAAAAGGGGTATAGGAACTTGGGTACTGCCCTGAGGGACATGAATCAGTAAAAGAAATAATTTCAAAAAGTACCATTTTTAAAGGGGTAGTCATTTTCGATTGCTTAAAGTAAAAAAATAAGAAATTAAAAATTCCTTAAAATATCATGGCTTGGGGGGGGGGGGGGGTCCCCTCATACTACCTGAAAAGTTGCACATCTGTACAATGTATAGAACCTGCTGCAGCAGGACTGGCATTTTTTTTAAAAATGAAGTTTTTAATTAAAAAAAAAACAGCGTGGTCATATTTTTTTAAGTGTGTGGGGTTCCACCTTTAGGCCTGGTAGGACTTTTAAGGGGAACCACGCCCCCAAAAAATGGGGGGAAAAGCAAACCCTTGATCCAAACACAGGCCTGGCAGGCCAGGAAAGGGGGGAGATGAATGAGTGCCCCCCATCCTGAACCATACCATGCTCCATGCCCTCAACATGGTAGAGGTGCTTTGAGGTAGGGGGCTCCCCCCCAAAGCACCTTGTCCCCATGTTGATCGATGTAATCCATTATCTATCGTAGGGATGCCAACTCGCCAAAAATGTTAAAAACCCCTACACCCACCAAACTGTCCTCATCCGCTGAGCAATCGCTGCTATCTGACTGTCAGGAATGGACTGGCCAGCAATGGTGGGACTCACCTGCCTTATGAGCTGCAGTACCAGGGCTGGCCAGCGGGTGCTCCCAGCAATCAGAGACTCAACCTTGCAGCCAGCTAAACACCTGGAACTGATTATACTGGTGTATTTAAGGGATGGCCAGACCTGCAGACTCTGCCTTGGTGTGTGTTTCTCCTGGGCCCTGTATCCTGTTCCTGCTCCCTGTTCCTGTTCCTGTCTGATTCGTTGCTGACCCTGCTCTGATCCCTGGCTTTGTCTGACCATTCTCCTGCTCCTGATCCCTGGCTTGTCTGACCATTCTCCTCTGCCTGACCCTCTGTACCACGCTGCCCGCTACCTGCTGAACCTGGCTTGTGACCCCGACCATTCTCCGCTTGCTCCCCCTGTACCTACCTGTCCGATTGATATTGACCCGGCCTGCCTGACGACGCTTGCATTGTATGTACTGTCATCTGTGGGTGGTTGGTTTGGTTTGTTTGCACTGTGTCATGTTTTAGTATTGCACTGCGTTTATGTTTGTATTGTTAGTGTTAATAAATTATATTGTTTATAACATATCTGAAGTCTGCGTTTCCCTGCGTCAGTCACACACCTCTGGTCATACCCGGGAGCCCTGACATTACACCAAGGCCAATCCTGACCAGAAGTGGCTGCACAGGGAAGCCATCTTGGTTTGTTGATGGGAAGGATGGATCTTGATGAGGTTGTGTATTTATATCTGCTAGTGTTTGATGACAGAGAGTATGCTTATCAAACTCTGAAGGAGTATCCCCGGGATGAACTGCTAGAATGTATACGGCTCGCTCATGTTCTAGTAGATCAGGGCACAGAATTCTCTGAGGTGCAGCCACTGATTCAGATTTGTGCGGAGTTGGTTTCATCTGGTACCCCCGAATGCAGGGATGAATTTTTGCCGCCATTTAGTGCCGACCAGGTAGAGTCCCTGGTATGGTTATTAGAGGATGATGTGGATTGCTTCTTGGAGCATTATGCTGCATGTTCTCCACAGATACTAAGAGATTGTATAAACGCAGTGCAGTCTTTGGTCAGACAGGCTTTGTGTAAGCTCAGCTTTGTTCAACCCATACTGCAGACATGGACAGATTTGTTGCACCCAGCCTCAGTCAGCCTACAAAAACCCAGTCCTGCTTCTAATCTATTTCCTCAAAGCTCTATTCCTGCATTCCCAACAGCTCCTCCTGCCCTGCTATCTACCGCATGTCAGTCCCCTGTTCCCACTCACTGCACCTATCCTGCCTTTAACCCTGTAAAAAAGCCCTCTGTAGCAACTGCTCCCTCCTCTGTTCCATCCTCCAGCTCTTCTCTGTCTCCAGCTGCTCCATTTGAAGACCTGCGTTTACTTGCAGTGCTCCAGTAGTTAAAACCAGAAAAAAGCGAAAATTCTTTCCAACCAGTACCATCCTGCCAGTATCCAAACCGGTGAGCCTGCCGTCTGTGAACCTGCCTTCCGTGGTTCAGCCTGGTGCCTCGGCACCCGCACTTCAGCCTGAGGTCTGTACCCAGCCTGATGCCTGTACCCAGCCTGATGCCTGTACCCAGCCTGATGCCTGTACCCAGCCTGATGCCTGTCTTCAGCCTGATGCCTCTCTTCAGCCTGATGCCTCTCTTCAGCCTGATGCCTCTACTCAGCCTGATGCCTCTACTCAGCCTGATGCCTCTACTCAGCCTGATGCCCCTACTCAGCCTGGTGCCCCTACTCAGCCTGGTGCCCCTACTCAGCCTGGTGCCCCTACTCAGCCTGGTGCCCCTACTCAGCCTGGTGCCCCTACTCAGCCTGATGCCTCTACTCAGCCTGATGCCTCCACTCAGCCTGATGCCTCTACCCAGCATGATGAACTGATCCAACCTGATGATCCTATTAGGCCAGTTGACTCGATGCCCGCTGTTGATCCAGATGATCCGGTACCTGATCCGGTGCCCGCTGTCGTGCCAATTGACTCAGAGCCCGCTGTCGTACCTGGTGACTCGGTGCCCACTGCCTTGCCAGATGACGCGGTGCCCGCAGACGCAGACCTGCAGACTCTGCCTTGGTGTGTGTTTCTCCTGGGCCCTGTATCCTGTTCCTGCTCCCTGTTCCTGTTCCTGTCTGATTCGTTGCTGACCCTGCTCTGATCCCTGGCTTTGTCTGACCATTCTCCTGCTCCTGATCCCTGGCTTGTCTGACCATTCTCCTCTGCCTGACCCTCTGTACTACGCTGCCCGCTACCTGCTGAACCTGGCTTGTGACCCCGACCATTCTCCGCTTGCTCCTCCTGTACCTACCTGCCCGATTGATATTGACCCGGCCTGCCTGGCGACGCTTGCATTGTATGTACTGTCATCTGTGGGTGGTTGGTTTGGTTTGTTTGCACTGTGTTATGTTTTAGTATTGCACTGCGTTTATGTTTGTATTGTTAGTGTTAATAAATTATATTGTTTATAACATATCTGAAGTCTGTGTTTCCCTGCGTCAGTCACACACCTCTGGTCATACCCGGGAGCCCTGACACTGACATGTGTCGTAAGATGTAAACAATTGGGCGGAGCTAGTGCTGATGTCACTGCTAGCTCTGCCCCATTGTGCTGTGATTGGCCAAAACATTGTGGTGCATTGCTTTGGCCAATCACAATGCACTGTCACAGCGTAGTGCATTGTGGGGTACGGTGGACAAACAGCCTGCTGAACGCCCTAACCGTTCGTGTGTTCGCAGAACACATGAATACCTGATGTTCTTATGTTCGACTCAAACATCAAGGACATCCCTGTTGGTCAGCACAGCAATGATGTTTCCAAATGGCAGAAAAACCCAAAGAGCCTGTTGCTTCTGTTACTAAGTTAAAATCTGAATCTAAAACAATTTTTTCTTACCATAACGATCTACCATTGAAGTGTACCAAAAACTGACTCCAGACTAATAAACCTTTATGCATTTCTGAATTTTTTCTAATGTGCACCTTAGGGTTGCCATATAAAGACTTTTAGAAAATATACGACCCATACACAAAACCCACATTGCAAAGGCCAGAAGGCCAATAAATTCTGCATCTCCTTAAGCATAACCTTCTTCTTTTGTAGAATAAGTAATATACGATCAGATTGTTTTTAATTTTCACAGGTGGAATTGAAAATATCATGGATCCGTATCAATGGTGATGCTCAAGAATTCCAGGCATATAATAGGGAATACCGTTTTTCCTCTGCCAATGGGACACCAAAATAATAGCAGATTTAAAAAATGACTATAATAAATGTAAACAGTCATTGGAGTTAGGTGGACTGAGGAGCAAAAAATCATCGAGATAATGAATTACAAAGGGGGGATTTGCTTTAACCGGTACCACCAATTTTATAAAGGTCGAAAAAGCTTCAAAATAATAGCAGGACAAAGAGCAGCCCATCTGCAGGCATCTATCAGTCATTGGAGTTAGGTGGACCGAGGAGCGAAAAATCATCGAGATAATGAATTACAAAGGGGGAATTTGCTTTAACTGGTACCACCAATTCTAGAAAGGTCCAAAAAGCTTCAAAATAATAGCAGGACAAAGAGCAGCCCATCCGCAGGCATCTATCAAAATAAAATTGTCTTTCGAATTGAAAATCCAAGGAGTTAAAACAATCTGGATGTAATGGTAATAATCTGAAATCCAATTTTATTTTTTTTTTAACTGTTTGTTTTTATTGATCATTTAGATGTTTACAACAATAAACAGTATTGTCGCAATAGCATGTTAGAAATTTGTAAAATTTACAGATAATAGAGTATAAGTATTTTCAACATTTTACAAACAAGCAAAAATGGTTACATTTTTTCAGTAGCTGTTACTATCATCAATATATTTGTTTAGCGAGTGTGTATTGTTTGTTTGGAGGTTTCAGTAGATCAGTAATTTAGAGGGGATAGGAAGGTAACAGTAAGCAGAGAAGTTTGAAGGCTAGAAAAAGTAGAATATAGAATGAGAGTTGAGTTGTTAATATTACATATTTCCTCTAAGACAATGAGATTATAATAGAGAAATTAGATAACTGTGTCGCTGGAGGTGCTTAAATGGTACATCTTGAGGTATTTTACACAACAGCACATCGATGATCCTTGAGCCATAAGTTCCAATTTTTCCGGAATTTATCGAGTGAGTTGTGTATTTGAGCAAAGGTTTTTTCAAAGGCCATGTTCGTGTTCAGGATTTCAATCACTGCATGAATGGTTGGTGCAGTGTGCTGTTTCAAAAGTCTGGCAATACTTAATCGTGCAGCGATCAGAATATGTATTAGTATAGTTTTAGATTGACACGGCCAGAAGTGCCAAGGCTGGGTTAGGGGTTTGAGATGAATCCATAATTGTTGTTATAAATGAGAAGGTATCTGCCCAGAATGAGATGATCTGTGGACATTCCCACCATATATTGTACAGGGATCCCAGTTGATTGCAGTTCCTCCAACATAGTGAAGAATAGTGGTAGGAAGATAGTGTTGCTAAATGTTGTGGTGTTATGTACCATCTGTGTAGTAGCTTTTGGGCTGATTCTCAGTGGTTAATACATCTGGAGGCTTTCCTGGTCCAGTGTCCTGCTTTTTGCCATTGTTGAATTGGGAATTGCTTCCCCATGTCTCGTTCCCATTTTTGCATCGCTGGCAGTTTTTTTAGGTGACAACGTTGAAGGAGGGCATTATATATGAACGATATGCCACGTATATGAGGGTCTGTTTTTTCATAAAAATTAATCAGAGATCGAAGAAGAAGATCTTCCTGGTATTCTAGGCTTTGTAATGTATAATGGAGTCTTAGATATTTGAAGAAATCCTTAGGTACAATATTATGTGCTTCTGAAAGTTGGTGAAATGTTCGTAAGGTACCGTTCATATATAGTTGAGCGAGATTATGGATCCCTGCTCTTTTCCAGGATTTAAGCTCAAAGTCAGGTGTAATCACTGAGATGGAGAGTAAGGGTATAAAGCCATTAACTGTAGGGCGAGTTTTCGGTGAGGTTCACAAGATAGATATCCAAGAGTGTAGAGTTATATTAATTGTGTCTAAACAGTATCTTGGAATTCTATGGGTGAGGGTAAGAGCTACCATTGTGGCTTGAGTGTCACCAGGGAGAAGAGATTGTTCTATTTGCGCCCATCTCTTATCTGTTTGAGGTGACCAGCAGTGCTGCGCCTGATCTAAAATTATTGCCTTATAGTATAATTTTAGGTTTGAGGCCCCCATACGGGGTGGTAAGATAAACACGTCTACAATAGCAATTCGTCCCACCCAAGAGATAGTGGTGTAGGAGAACTCCTTACATAGCTCTGTTATTTTAATAAGCAGTTTGAGAAATTAATTTTAAAGATGTTCGAATGAGATGTGAATTTTATTCCTAGGTAGGTAATTTGTGAGGATGTTGCCCAAGAGAAAGGAGAAATCGATGATATTCGCTTATGCAGGTTAGGTGATATCGTGATTGGTAACATGGAGGATTTTGCTTCATTTACTTTGTATAGAGATAGTGAACTAAATTTCAAAATAACTTTTTGTAATGCCGTTATCGAGATGAGGGGGTCAGTTATAGCATTTATGATGTCGTCGGCATATAATCCTATTTTGTGCACTACGTGTCGTATTTTGATACCTTTGATGTCAAGTTGTATACGGATTTCCTCTGCCAATGGTTCTTTGCATAGAGCAAAGATCATGTGTGATAGGGGACACCCCTGTCTTGTGCCATTTGAGATTTGAAATGGATCAGAAAATATACGGATGACCATACTCTGGTACTGGGGCATTATAGAGCCATAATCGCTTTCCCAAAAGTTCCTGATAATCCAGATTTTTCAAGAACCAATTGCAAGTATGGCCAATAGATCCTGTCAAATGCTTTCTCTGCATCTAATGAGATAAGCAGAGAAGATGTCTGCGTGTAATGTGCTCATTGAGCTAGATTTATGAATCTTCGTGTGCCATCTGGTGCTTGACTCCCATTGATAAAAACCAACCTGGTCTGGATTAATTAATTTTGGCATTAGTGATTGAAGTCGGTTGGCTAGTAGTTTGGCATACATCTTCGTGTCATTATTCAGGAGCGATATAGGTCTGAAGTTGGCTGGTGATGCAGGAGGTGTACCAGGTTTTGGCAATGTGATAATAATGAGATAAAACACATGGCATGGCTTTTTTACAATGCCCAGGAGCTTGCCTAACTGTAAGTGCAGCTGGAGAAAATCTTTCTGTATGAATGATTTTCCCTCTGAAGGAGCAGTGTCCAAACAATTAGCAATATTGGTCCATACATAAACAGTAGCATCAGGCTCAGTAATGACAGGTAAAGCAGTAGAAGCTTGAAAAATAGACAGGTCAGACAGTAATTTTGTGAGGGAAGCAGGCAGTGAGGAGAAGACTTCCAGAGTAAACTCACCAGCTCTAGCTGTGCCATCAGAAGTGTTCAAAGTGGGAGATGTGAGCAGTGGTGGTGATGTGGATCTCTGCGCAGCAGTGGACTTCCCCTACTGGCTTAGCTGTTGTAGATCTGCTCCAGAGCTGGTGCTTTGTGCATCTGTAGATGTCTGTAGCATTGCTCTGTGCTCTGGAGATAAATGTACAATCCACAGCGTCTGTCTACTGAGGCTCCGCCCACTCCAGTCCCTGCTGCTGATGATGTCACATTCCAGGTGGCGCCGCTTCAGAAAGACCGGCTCAGACGTCTTGCTGCAGAGTGCCATGGATTCCTCTGGGGTATGGGGGCACCGCTGCTGCCTGCACCTATTCACTGGCTTGTTCACCTCAGCACCTCCTCTTCCCAGCTGTCCCCTCCGTGGTCCTGAAACCGGGACTTCAGACTGCCCCATATCCTCTTTCTCTGCGGACGAGTCTTCTCAGTCGCCACCATCTTCAAACTCTCCCCTGCCACCTGCTGGACCACCGCTTCCGGCACCTCCTCCTCTTTGCTTGCAG